TGTGTGTGTGGTTGTGTGTGTGTTGTGTGTGGTTTGTGTGTGTGTGTGTGTGTGTGTGTGTGTGTGTGTAGTGTGTTGTGTGTGTGTGTGTGTGTATGCGGTCTATTTGTACTCACCTATTTTGTGGTTGCAGGGGTCGAGTCTTAGCTCCTGGCCCCGCCTCTTCACCGGTTGCTACTAACTCCCTCTCTCTCCCCGCTCCATGAGCTTTATCAAACCTCGTCTTAAAACTGTGTATGGTTCCTGCCTCCACTACGTCATTTTCTAGGCTATTCCACTGCCTTACAACTCTATGACTGAAGAAATACTTCCTAATATCTCTCTGACTCATTTGTGTCTTCAACTTCCAATTGTGGCCTCTGTTTCTGTGTCCCCTCCCTGGAACATCCTGTCTTTGTCCACTTGTTTTCCACGCTAGTTTTTTTGATGTCGTTTATGTGTCCCTGCCTCGTGTCCTCGTGTGTCGTGTGCGATTCCGCTAATCTGTTTTCTGTGATATTCCACCTACTATTGTGTAACTACCCTATTTTGGTGTTACAGGGGTCCAGTCTGTAGCTCCTGGCCCTACCTGTCATTCTGCCGATTGCTTACTGTGGCTGTCCTTCCTGCTCCTCCCTTCTCCATGAACTTTATCAAACCTCGTCTTAAAACTGTGTCTGGTTTCCTGCCTCCACTAACGTCATTTTCTAGGCTATTCCACTGCCTTACAAAATCTATGACTGAAGAAATACTTCCTAATTATCTCTCTGACTCATTTGTGTCTTCAACTTCCAATTGTGGCCTCTTGTTTCTGTGTCCCCTCCGTGGAACATCCTGTCTTTGTCCACCTTGTTATTCCACGCAGTATTTTATATGTCGTTATCATGTCTCCCTGACCCTCCTGTCCTCCAGTGTCGTCAGGCCGATTTCCCTTAATCTTTCTTCATAGGACATTCCCCTTAGCTCTGGAACTAACCTTGTGGCAAACCTTTGTACTTTCTCTAGTTTCTTGACGTGCTTTATCAAGTGCGGGTTCCAAACAGGTGCTGCATACTCCAGTATGGGCCTGACATACACGGTGTACAGTGTCTTGAACGATTCCTTACTAAGGTATCGGAATGCTGTTCTCAGGTTTGCCAGGCGCCCATATGCTGCAGCAGTTATCTGATTGATGTGTGCTTCGGAGACATGCTCGGTGTTATACTCACCCCAAGATCTTTCTCCTTGAGTGAGGTTTGCAGTCTTTGGCCACCTAGCCTATACTCTGTCTATGGTCTTCTGTGCCCTTCCCCTATCTTCATGACTTTGCATTTGGCAGGATTAAATTCGAGAAGCCATTTGCTGGACCAGGTGTCCAGTCTGTCCAGGTCTCTTTGAAGTCCTGCCTGGTCCTCATCAGATTTAATTCTCCTCATTAACTTCACATCATCTGCAAACAGGGACACTTCTGAGTCTAACCCTTCCATCATGTCGTTCACATATACCAAAAATAGCACTGGTCCTAGGACCGACCCCTGTGGGACCCCGCTCGTCACAGGTGCCCACTGTGATACATCATTACGTACCATGACTCGTTGTTGCCTCCCTGTCAGGTATTCTCTGATCCATTGCAGTGCCCTTCCTGTTATATGCGCCTGATGCTCTAGCTTCTGCACTAATCTCTTGTGAGGAACTGTGTCAAAGGCCTTCTTGCAGTCCAAGAAGATGCAATCAACCCACCCCTCTCTCTCGTGTCTTACTTCTGTTATTTTATCATAAAACTCCAGAAGGTTTGTGACACAGGATTTGCCTTCCGTGAATCCGTGCTGGTTGGCATTTATACTCTTGTTCAGTTCCAGGTGCTCCACCACTCTCCTCCTGATAATCTTCTCCATAATTTTGCATACTATACACGTCAATGACACGGTCTATAGTTTAGTGCCTCTTTTCTGTCTCCTTTTTTAAAAATGGGAACTACATTTGCCACTTCCATACCTCAGGTAGTTGCCCAGTTTCCAGGGACGTGTTGAAGATTGTGGTAAGTGGCACACACAACATATCTGCTCCCTCTCTAAGGACCCACGGGGAGATGTTGTCCTGGTCCCATTGCCTTTGAGGTATCGATGTCCCTTAGCAGTTTCTTCACCTCCTCCTCATCTGTATGTATGTCGTCCAACACTTGTTGGTGTATTCCTTGCTGGTGTCCCATCTGGTCTGTCCCCCCAGAGTCCTTCCTGTCTCTACTGTAAATACTTCCTTAAATCTCGTGTTGAGCTCCTCACATACCTCTTGATCGTTTCTTGTGAGTTCTCCACCTTCTTTCCTCAGCCTTATCACCTGGTCCTTGACTGTTGTCTTCCTCCTAATGTGGCTATACAGCAGTTTTCGGGTCAGATTTGACTTTCGATGCTATGTCGTTTTCATACTGTCGCTGGGCTTCCCTCCTTATCTGTGCATACTCGTTTCTGGCTCTTCTACTAATCTCCTTGTTTTCCTGGGTCCTATGCCTCCTGTACCTTTTCCATTCTCTGTTGCACTTAGTTTTTGCCTCCCTACACCTTCGGGTAAACCAAGGACTCGTTTTGGTCTTCCTATTATTTCTGTTTCCCTTGGTAAACAAAACTTTCCTCTGCCTCCTTGCACTTTGTTGCCACATATTCCATCATCTCGTTTACTGATTTTCCTACCATTTCTCTGTCCCACTGAACCTCCTTCAGGAAGTTTCTCATACTTGTGTAGTCCCCCCTTTTATAGTTTGGCCTGTCCCCTTCAGTTCCTGTTACCTTCTCCACTTGTAACTCTACTATATAATCAAAACTCAGAACCACGTGATCGCTAGCTCCAAGGGGCCTCTCGTAAGTGAGTCTTCAATGTCTGAACTGCTCAGGTGAACACAAGATCCAGTCTTGCTGGCTCATCCTCCCCTCTCTCTCTGGTTGTGTCCCTGACATGTTGATGCATGAGGTTTTCAAGTACCACATCCATCATCTTGGCTCTCCATGTTTCGGGACCCCCATGTGGCTCCAGGTTTTCCCAGTCGATCTCCCTGTGTTGAAATCGCCCATTACCATAACTTTGCTCTGCTCGAGTGAGCTCTTCTTGCCACCTCAGCCAGTGTGTCCACCATCACCCTGTTTGTTTTCTTCGTACTCCTCTCTTGGCCTCCTGCAGTTCTGTGGTGGGTTATACATCACTCCAATGACTATGTTCTCTCCCGGACTGAATTGTACCTACAATGTAGTCTCTTTCTCCAATCATGTCCATGCCTTCCATTTCCTCAAATCCCCATCGGTGTTTTATGAGCAGTGCAACCCCTCCTCCCCCTCTACTCCTTCTATCTTTCCTCAGGATCTGATATCCCGTTGGGAAGATTGTGTCTGTTATTGTCTCAGCGAGTTTTGTTTCTGTGACTGCTATGATGTCTGGGGATTTTTCACTGATTCTTTCGTTCCACTCCTCATGTTTATTCATTATTCCATTCCATCGGTGTTTTATGAGCAGTGTGTGTGTGTGTGTGTGTGTGTGTGTGTGTGTGTGTGTGTGTGTGTGTGTGTGTGTGTGTGTGTGTGTGTGTGTGTGTGTGTGTGTTTGTGTGTGTGTGTGTGTGTGGTGTGTGTGTGTGTTGTGTGTGGTGTGTGTGTGTGTGTGTGTGTGTGTGTGTGTGTGTGTGTAACTCAACAATCAACATTTGCACCAATAACTCATTACAGTTGTGACCGGGTGTGGAAGTGTGAATTGCTCATTACTCTATAATTTGTTCATGACTGTAGCCATGTATACACGTAAGTAACCATTCTTACAGCTATCAAAACTTTGGGGGTCCAGTCCCTGGATCCATTACGTACCTCTGTAATCTGTAAGTACCTTTGTAACTTGTCATGATTGTGACCAGACCTACCTGGAGTTCGTTACCTTTGTAAATTGTGAGTTCATTACCTTTGTAAATTGTGAGTTCATTACCTTTGTAATTGTGAGTTCATTACCTCTGTAACTTGCTCATCTATCAAAGCTTTGGGGTCCAGTCCTAGACCAATTATGTACCTTTGTAACCTTTTGACTACCGCCCACAGGATGGGTATGGGGTACATAATAAACATATTAAACTATAAAACTTAAACTAACATGGTATACAAGTCTAGCTGACATCAATAACATACTACTATATAAAAAGCCGCTTGTTATGCTGAGCATTTCGGGCAAATTAGGTCAAGTTTTGTCCCAGGATGCGACCCACACCAGTCGACTAACACTCAGGTACCCATTTTACTGATGGATGAACATAGATAACCGGAGTAAAGAAGCACTCCCAATGTTTATATCCTCACTGGGAATCGAACCGAGATTCTTGCCGTGTGAAGCGAGAGTTTTATCCACCAGGCCACGGGGCCTGGAAGAAGAATATTGTGTCTTGTGGAACAGAACTTTTTACTTTAGTCTCCTCTGACTTTAGATATATTATTTACGTGTTAGTAGTAAGTTTATTTAGGCAGAGTTAGTTATTTTTTTGGATGACTATTGTTGTTTTTACCTAGTAAGTTATATGTAAATTACACAGGATAACCTTGAAACATATGCAGACTGGGTAGCATAACCTTGAAATAAGTGTAAATTATGTAGGATAACCTTGAAAGATATGTAAATTATGTAGGATAACAGGTACACAAATACAGTTGCACAAGTTTTCTTTCTTAGTAACATGAGTAAATTACTCAGGATAACCCAAAAAAAAGGTATCTGGCACTTATATGTGTAAATAATGTAGGATAAACTTGAAACATGTGTAAATTACGTAGGATAACCTTGGAATACGTGTAAATTACATAGGATAACCTTGGAATATGAAACAACGAAAAAGTTATTTATTTACATAGGTGTTTCTGAGTAGAAGGGTAGTTAGTGGCAGTAGAGTAATAAAATACGGATGTATGGTTATTATGGGTGTGGTGGCGTTATATTTATGGTTGTAGTTAATAAAAGAGTAGTATAATGGGTAGTTGTTGAGTGTTAAGAACCATGGTACCGGCGAGGTGGTTTCAACGATCGATCTCGCGGAGTCTCGCGCACCGCGAGAACCTCAGCCAGTGCAAAATAATACTTCACCAACGAGCCAACCTATTTACGCTGTTTTTACCAGTAACCTTTTTATGGTGTGAAGTAAGTACTCGGGCGAGTGTTGCGGAGGTGGAGTGTGACAGCAAGAGCGTGGAGAGGGCTACTGAGGGGTGAGGAGTGGGGTTATGGGGGTGAAATAGCAGGAGAAATATCGCATGACTCATTGGAAAAGGGCGAAGATGGCTCCTAGTGTCAAGCTGGAGTGGCATTGATTGTTGCAGGGCGTGTTGCAGGCGTGTCCGCCCACCTCTCACATCTACACTGGCCTCCCCACCTGCACAAGTTGTCTCTCTGGTAAATGGAGTGCTTGCCATACACACCTTGATGCAGCTGGTGAAGCAGACGGGGTTTTATCCAGCTATGGTGATGAGAATTGATCTTGTTGCAGAGGTTGTTATAACTAGTCTCTCTCTCATACGGTTGGCAAGTTATATCCCTCACACTGTTGTATTTCTACGTTATTTTGGTGGTGCTAGTGAGCAAGGCTGTGATATTAAAGGTGGAGAGAGTCCTTGATGACCTTGTCTCAGTAGTCACCGTACTTAACACCTGTGTAATTAATTGCTTGTAATTACCTGTGTGTAGGTGTAGTTGTGTGCCATGTTGCAGCCTTGAGTTATGGCAACACAAACCATGTTAGTATACTACAGTACTAGTGACTCCTGCTGAGTCACACATGCTAAGTTGCTCAGTCCAGAAATTACATCTAATTTATCCCTTTCTACGTGTGTCTTGATGCTGGCACAGGGCTCTTGATCCAAGCAACACATACCTCCACTACTATGATTCTTCAGATCGAGTAATTACCTCTGACTTCCCTTTCCTCGTTCCTCAGGCACTTTTGACTTGTGAATTTAGTGCTTCCTCTTTAATATAACTAATTTGTCATGTTCCGTGGTATACAGATAGGCAAAATCATAAAAAATGAAGGAACACTGCAGTAGGTTTACTAGCCCATGCTAGGTAGGTCAAACACCCACCCACTCCTGGCCTGGTTGGCAACATTCACCTCACACACTCAGTGTCAGTGGTTCAATCCCCGGCATTGGTGGAAACAGGGCGTGTTTCCCTGCACCTGCTGTCCCGTTCACCTAGCAAGCAAGTAGGTACCTGGGTGTTAGTTGACTGGTGTGCGTCACATCCTGGGGGGCAGAATTAAAGGACCACAATGGAAATTGTCCTCAGTGATTCACTTTCTTGGGTTATCCTGGGTGGCTAGCCCTCTGGGGTTAAAAATTTAAACACGATCTTATCACACCCACTCATGTACATGTTTAACCTATAAGTAATATAAGATTTCATTCGATTTTTAACCCCGGAGGGTTAGCCACCCAGGATAACCCAAGAAAGTCGGTGCGTCATCGAGAACTGTCTAACTTATTTCCATTGGGGTCCTCAATCTTGTCCCCCAGGATGCAACCCACACCAGTTGACTTAAAACCCAGGTATGTATTTGCTGCTAGGTGAACAGGACAATAGGTGTAAGGAAATGTGTTGAAGTGTTTCCACCCGCCGTGAATCGAACCAGGCCCTCCGTGTGTGAAGCAGGAGCTTTAGCCACCAGGCCCAAGCTCTCACCTTGGTAATGCTACCAGGGAGTGTGTTCTCATCAACAACACTGTTGTCAAACCAGTTCCTATATCCTTTCTAAATCTAAATTTGTGTCTATTCCTGTGAATCCTGTCTTGGCTAGGATAAGATTTTTTTTGGATTTTTAACCTGGAGTGTTAGCCACCTGTGATAACCCAGTAGTCAGTGCATTACTGGGAACTGTCTCTTGTATACATTGGGGTCCTTACTCTTGTCCCTCTGGATGAGACTCATGACAGGCTGCTAACACCCAGGTACCTACTTACTGCTAGGTGAACAGAGACAGTAGGTGTAGGGAAACATGCCCAACAGTTTCACCCAAGCCAGGGATCAATTCTGATCCCTTGGTGTGAGAGCTGCGGATGCTACCAACCAAGCCATGAGCACCCACAATGAATGCCAGCAGCATTTAGTGGTCCCAGGCACATCCACCAAAGTATAAACCCAACCCAACTGGTTAATTAAATCTACTAATCAGACGAGACGCAGTGTATTCAACGTGGTATGGCCATTGGTTAGAAATTTTGAGAACTTTATTTATATCCCCTATATTCCTGTTTTCCATTTGTACACTTCCACCTTATATGCTGTTCTAGAGTGTAAGTTAAGTTTATTTAGGTAGAAGTACACACACACAATTGTCATTCATAATTAACGTGTAAATTACCTAGGGTAACCTAAAAAAATTCAGTGTCTTTAACCTATCTTTGTAGGAGGGATTTCTAATGTGTATTAATCTATTATCCACATTATTTAATGTATTAAAAATGAGCACTAAACCTGTGTGGGTCATGCTTAGCCAGTGGTAGGAATGAAGTTAATGAACTAAGATTATTTTAATGTACAAGAAACTGATGTATGTATTGTAATTGCAGTTACCGAAATGGTTTGATTTAAAGAGTGGTCTGTTAAGATGTTTAAACTAGTTTGACAGAGATGTGAGGAATTAACTATTTTGTAAACACACCACCTTCTTGAAGGTTGGGAGTGGACCTCACCCACATGAATGGGACATATGGGCAAGTCTCCTAACCCTGTTACCAAGCAGTAAATAGGTACCACATTATTTGGCTGTTGTGGGTAACATGCAGGGGAAGAGGTAGGAAAAAAGGATGTCATTGGAAATGTTTCGCTGTCTGACTTTGAGTTGTCCTGGGTTTTTAAGTCTCCAGAATTTATGTTTCCCTCCTCTTATCTGGGATCATGTTTTATTACAGCCCGTTCCCCAAATGCTGTATATTCCTTACAAATTGCCTCTCCTGTGCATGTAAAAAAAAATCTTATATCCTTCAGAAATGCCTAGACATGTTGGTATCCAGCAAAGTTGGAATTATTAATTCACCGACATTAGTGAGTTATCCAGGTGGTAGGTTTAGTGATGTCAGAACATAACCATGAGTTAACCTATATAATTTAGGTTAGTTTCAGGTTAGGTTAGTCCTTGCCAATAATTTTACTGTACTGAATTTACATATGGAAGAATTGCTCATAGGACAGTACGTATATACGTGAAACAGACCTGGTAATACTGTATTACTGAGATTATTGGAATTCAAAATGTTTACCATGTAGCTGTCTTGAGTTCAGTGCTCATACAGAGAATGATAGTTTATGCAATAAGATCATAGTTCCTTGATAATGTGAGAAATCACAAAAGTACTTAGAATTTCACTATTTTTTCAAAGTGGTTTGTTTTGCATATGATAATTCATATATGAGAACATAAGGCACACTGCAGTAGCCCTACTGGCCCATGCAAGGCAGTTCCAGGTCTCCTACTGGCTTAAGTCAATGACCTAATTTAGTCAGGTCAGGTCATAGTACAGTATATCAGATCAATTTTCCTCATTGAAATTAATTGAAATGCCATTAATCCGTTCCAGCCCCCCCTCCCCAAAAAAAAAAAAACACTCCAGGGGCAGGAGAAAATACTTCAATATAGCGCTAATATCAACTCTATGGCTTATTTATCTATCAGAATTGATCTACTATGACATAAGCACTATAAGTAACATAGAAACATGATATAGTATACTCTAGAACGAATAAAATAGGCCATAATATGGCGAATGTCCAGGACCAGTCTGAGCATATAAAATCATTATAAGGTTTGGTCCTGGGTAAGAGAAAACTGAGTTTTTGAGAGGCTAAATGCAGTAGATCACTAGTGCAATGATATTCATATATCATGGAAGCTAGACTTATTTCATGAAGCCCACCATATATTATTGAAGTAAATGCAATAATAGACAGGAATTAAAAAAAAAAATTGATTGTTCTACAATTGGATTGTGGAATATTGGAAATATTCCAAATATTTTGAGATTTGTGTGGGAGTAAAGGGCAAGATATTTTGTAAATGTCAAAAACTTAGCAACTTTATTTTTTTTGTAGAATAACTAAAGATAAATACATGATTACCTCCAGTAAGAACATCGCACTAGCATTGTTTTATAAGTACCAAGTTCCAAAACAACTTTTCGTTGTGTCATTTAGGCTGGGGTTCTTGCCAAATGTCATTTTCAGTAAATATTTTTTTTCGCAACTGAAAGCAAAAAATCGACAGAGCGACGGCTCGTAACTTGGAAAACTTGTAAGTTGGAGCACTCGTAAGTCAAGGTACCACTGTACTTGTGTACCTTAACCAGAATAAACTTACATGTGACTTCACAGGATGAGGCATCAACCATATTGCCTCTCAAGTGTCAGTGATACTGTTTACCTCTGGTGAATTGTGACAAGGCAGTGTTTAGTTGAAGGATTTAGAGGTGCCTGAGATCTGCTGTGTTGTGGATTATTCAACAGAGGGTGGCAAAAAGGAGTGTATTTTTAATTGCATTTTTGTTGGGAAAAAGCTGGGAAAGAAGGTAGTAAAGATCAGTGGGGAGGCACTGCAATGTACAGGTGGAGATGTTTTCTTTAAGTGTCACTTTCCTTGTTTTTTGTTAACACTAATGTTATGACTATGTGCCACTCTTGTTATTGATCCTTGAAACCTTGCGGGTAAAATCCCACGCTCAACTTTTCAAACTTAAGTTGAGACTCTTAAAGGAACCAGGAGAGACAGGAGGAGCTTAAAAGCTATTAGTGAAATTGAAAGAAATTCAAAATATTTCTTTTCATATGCCAGAAACAAGGCAAATATCACATCTAGTATCAGGCCCTTACTCAGACAGGATGGGACTTACACAGATGACAACAAGGAAATGAGTGTAATACTGAAATCCCAGTATGACTGTGTTTATTGAACCACTAATCAGTCTGAGGATTGACGACCCAAATGATTTCTTCATGAATGAGCCTCAAAACTCCATAAATGTATGCCAGATTTCCAACATTACCCTAACTCCCATAGCCTTTGAAAAAACCATTGACAACATGCCCGTGCACTCAGCCCCAGGCCCAGACTCGTGGAACTCTGTATTCATTAAGAACTGCAAGAAACCTCTCTC